TGTACATATATATTTATATTTGTATTATACTATATTAACTATGTGACTGGTTCTATGTCTATGTATATGGATTTATGGAATATACAATAAATGAATGAATGAATGAATGAATGTGGAGGAAGATTGTTAAATACCCTAATACCCATACAGTACATTCCCTTTTGGTAAACTGTAAAATTTACTGTAGGCAGATAAAAATTATTTGATTGTCTTGTACCTGAATTATGCTTTTCTGAATTTAAAATAAAGAGATCCTTGTTATTGACCACAAACAACATGAGTGAAAAAATATATTGTGATGCAAGAGGCAAAATTCCCAACTTCCTAAACAAATTCCTGCAGGAATCCTTGCTCCTACAGCCCATCATAATTCTTATTATTCTTTGTTGCATTCTAAATATTTTTAAACTGTGGGACAAATTTCCCCAGAAAATTAAGCCATAGCTTATGATCGAATTAAAATATGAATAATAAATAATTTTCAGAACATTGAAAGACATATATGACTTAATACTCCTCATAATGTAACATACCGAACTCAGTTTTGGGATAATACATTCAATATGACCTCTCCAGTTCAATGAGTCATTTATATTTATGCCAAGGGTCTTAATATTAGACACAGTTGTTATTGGTTGATTGTTATGAACGATATTTACATCAATTGTGGATTTATTTTTAGTTTTAAAATGAATACAATGAGTTTTGTTAACATTTATTGAAAGTAAATTTGTTTTGAACCATTTATTTACGCAAGCAATGTATAATGATCCATGGATGTTAAATATGAATGAATATATGAAAATGGATGAGAGGTCACTATTGTCACTATATCGTTACTTCCCTACAACACTTGCACTCCCGCTTTTTCGGCCGAACAGAACTCTTTGGCCAGAGGATAGGAGAAAAAGAAACACGGCAACTACCAGCCCCGTGAAATTCGCGATCACTTGCCATAGTCATTTGTTTATTGCTTTCCCCTCCCGACCAGTAGCCATGTTTACGTCTTTCGAGATTCGTGGAGTGATCTCAGCGATCACAGCCTTTAAAATAAATACATTACTCTGATTCTGGCGGCTGTGACGGCTGTGGCTATCTGCCAATATGGAGAGCGTGCGCATCATAAGTTTCGTCTTTAATCATATTTAATTCGAGATGATAATTTTGAAATGAATTATTATGTTATTTGAAACCTCTGATATCCACTGAAGGTAATTTATAAGACTGGTGTGTAAACATATTCCAACTGAGTTATACGCGTGAACGTATTAGGGTCTACGTGCGCCTTTGAGCATAGGTGGCGCTATTTAACACGAAACAAGGAAAGTGTTTTGCGTGTGTGTGTGTGAGAGTGCTTCCTCTCCAATTTTTGAAACAATTTCTTGAAACAACGAGGGGCTTTGTAGTGATATTTTATAATGATTAATGTAATAGACGGTATGCTAATTCTTTCTGCAAGGGATATTTACCACGTGCTATAGTATAAATGTTAGAAACTTATCCTGAAATGTTACTGATATTAGGGATTTCACATCCGATAGTCTTTTGTTTGTTAATAAAATGTTTTTGTACCGATTATTCGACAGTGGTATTACCCTTTGTTACTCGCAGTTTTAAAAATATGAGAATATTAATGACTAAAAAGTAAAAAATTGTTTTATTGCCTCGTACTTCGCCGCGACATTCAGTATGTTGCTTATGTCCATGTCTTGCTGTAAGTTTTAGAAAATGTCAGTATGAATGAGAAAAGAGGCTATGTATCATGTTCCCATTTATAATCCGTACCGTGGCTATGTGATTGCTATGTTAATTGACCTCCCAGAAATAAAATGTATAGCGTCATAAGTGTGAGATGTGCATAACTAATGAAATTATTCCTTTAGTTACAGATGTTGACTGAAAATTGCAATGGCTGGTAGAGAAAAGAAAATACTTGGCAATAAACAATTGGGGGTTAAAAAAGAAATAGACAAAACTGTTAAAGTAACAGAGACTACGAAAGAAGATGAAACTAGTATTAAAACAAGAGAACTGAAACAAGTTCAGAAGGATGTGTATCAAGGAAAGAAATCTACTCTTAAAAAGAGATCAACAGGTGGCACAAAATCAAGAAAAAGTTTGGAGAGTACAGAAGCAATTTCAAAAGATAGTTCTAGTTCTATTGTTGAATCTGCCACAGGAGGAAAAACTGCAAGGGGTTCCCAAAATCCAAAATTGCGCCAAACCAGTAAATTAAATAAGACGGTAACATCTCAGAGTGGAACAAATTCGGCTAATGAATTATTTGCACTTTCAAATGATACAAAGCGTTCACAGAGCCCGCGGTTATGCAAAACTAACAAGGTCTCAAAAGGTGCTAAACAAGGGAGCAAAACATTGGAGGAAGCAAGTCTTTCTGATGATTCAAACATTAATATATTAAGCACAAAAGCACAGAGTCCAAAGTTACGAAGGCTTGTGACACAGAATAAATTAGGGACAGGGAGCCCAGATGTACGAAATGGGTCTAAAGGTCGTAATACGCCTTATATTACAAGGTCAGACTCACCTGCTAGAGTTTTGAGGAATGGGAAGAGAAGAAGACTGAAAGATCCTAGCCTGCTGGAAGGACTTGATGTGGGTTTCCCTAAACGAAGACGGTTACTCAGCACCACCAGAGATGGCAGTGGTAGTGAATTGGGCAGTAAAGGTGAACTCTGTTTAGATGATCAGTCAAGTGTTGCAGGGAGTGACAGCAGTGTCTCTGATTTTCCAAGATTGGAAAATGGCAAAGGAAGCTGTGATTCTGATTGTGATTCTAAGATTCCACTGGATGAAACAAAGAATGAAGAACATTCACCTCATAGTGTCCATAGTTCACCATGTTCAGAAAATCAGTCACAAATTTATCATGACAAATGTTTAGGTAAATCAATTTCTAACAGAATTACAGAGCTGATACACAGAAACAAATTTTTGGAGTCTGTTGGGAAAGCATTGATCCCAAAGGCAGAAGAAAAATTAGTCTCCACCAAACCATCAGAATTAAGTGAAACAGACTTTGGAAAATTTATTGAAAATGAAAAAAAATTAACAGACACAAACTTCAATTTGTGTGGACCAGAATCTGTTGCTTCTGAGAAAACCGACTGTGACTCAGCTGAACATCAGTGTAGTCATGACTGTAGCACTCACAATACCAGCTCAGAAACAAAAGAGAAAGATGAAGACTTTTTACCAGCTGCTGGAAAAGTGACTGCATCTGAAAATGCTGATTTGAAGGAACTAGAGCATAAGAATGGACAAAATCTTTCAATTGATATAGCTCTTTACCACCTTCGTGAAAAATCAGCAAGAAAAGTTCGAGATTTGAAGATCACAAAGAACAAAAAGTTTTTTCAGGAATGTCCTAGCTCTAGTGGTGTGTTCTATGTTGTTCAGAATCCATCAAATGTTCCATTCCAGAAAGAGGGTGTAAGATCTGTCCTACCTCTTTGCAGTGGAGAAAACCAGGGTTCTGTCACTTGCACTGATGCCCAGTTGGCTAGCAGAGATATTCTGGTACTAAATTCATCTATCAAAGAGAAGGAGTCAGCAGAGAGTGAAAACTTTGCATCGGCTGAAGGCTGTGCATCAAGTGTTTCTGCGAGAGATGTAGTGAAAGACAGTTTAAATGTGTGCGCTGGTCAGCAGCTGGAGGAAGAATCTATCCCTGTTCTTTCTCAGACTGTTGTGTGTGAGGCAGATGTGTCATGTGTTAGTGATTTCAGTGTTGATAGGAAGAGGTGTAGTAGTAGTATTGACAGTAAAAAGGATGCTCACGGTATTAACTCAGACATTAAGGATGATAGTAGTACAGTTATTCTTGATTGGAAAATGGATTGTGAAAGTGCAGTCAGTGAGATTAAGATTGATTATAACAAGTTAAACAGTCTGGAAAGTATGGATTGTGAGAATGCAGACATTCGTGACGTTGAAGTAAACAAGAATAGTGGTGTTAGAGTTGAGACTGATAATAATAATGATCCTGTCAGTACAGATAGTGCTCTTGTTGATAACAAGAAAGTAATTAGTAAAGAGGATTTTGTTATGGGCACAGGCTTTAAAAACGATTGTAAAGAAACAGTTGACATTAAATTTGACTATAATGATACGGTTAATGATACCAGTAGTGTTACAGACTGTAAAGAAATATCTCATGACTGTAGTAGTACAACTAACAAATCACAGAAACCAGTGTTTCTTGAAATACCAGAAACTTCTGATCATAATGTGAATGCTGTTTTAGAACCTGTGATACATACAGATTTTGAAAGTGATGTACATGAAGTAGGTAGAAATATTCGTAGATCAACTCGTTCGTCAGTTGGCAAAGTACGAGCAGCCATGCTGCATTGTATGACAGCTGGTAGAATGAAACAAACAAAACTGGATTCACAAGAAAAGAGTCAGGATGTTATTAAAACTGATGCAGAATCACTGAGTATTTGTTCAACTGATGATGGTAGTACTATGGATAGTGAAGATGTTGCATTTTCAACTGGAAAAACTTTGGAGATGAAAGGCAAGCAGAACGATGTGCAAGAGAAGAATGAGGAAGTAAAGGGAGTGGAAGTGGAGGAAGATGAGGCAGCTGTCGAAGCAAACATCTTGGGCAAAGTAGAAGATATGCTGCTACATACTGGCACCACTGCCATGACAGCACAAGACATTCTTTCTAAAGAGAGTTTGTGTCATATAAATGATATCCATATTAAAGAGGGAGATTTGTGTGAATCAAAAGGAAATTCCTTGCATGTTGATAAGCTTGTTATTGAAAAGAAAAATGAAACATCAGAAAAACAGTTAGATATTAGCGTGCTTAAGGAATCTGTTGTTGACTGTGAAAATATTGATGAAGGGGACGTAATTTCAGATCAAGAAAATGAAAAAAGAATTCCAGAACTAAAAATGGACATTTCTGATGTGATTGATTTTACCAATGTTAGTACTGAAAAAATTATCAGTTGTGAAGATTTGTTTGATTCTGAACCAAATGTAAAGGAGGAAAGTAGGAGTACCGATGAAGTTGAACTGTGCAGTAAATTGAAAGATGAAAATGATGATAAATTACCTGCACAAAACACATTTGTGCCTCAGATTGTAGCACACATGAAGAAAGGTAAAGTAGACAGCATCAGTGATGGAAAGGTTGATAACGAAAAGGACGTGATGAACAATGTGGAAAAGGTTCTTGTTCATAAATTGCAGAATGCTATTGAACCAGCATTGTTTTATTCAAAAGAAAACCTCAAGGATGTCATGTCTCAGGATTCAGAAGACAAATCTTCAGACGTTACCGGAAAAATGATTATGAGTGACATTTCTGAAAGTCATTGTGAGTCCAAGCATCATACAAGCATTTGTACCAATGAGGAATTTCCATCCAGTACTCCAGAGTGTTCCGGTGAAGATGGACAGGCATGTGACAACAACAGATCCCTTATAGAAGAAGTCTTCCAGAAGAAAGTGATAGTGGAACAATGTGATATGATATCAGAAGGTGTCATGTCTGATGTGAACAGTATACTGCACGACGTGAAGCAGCTTGAAGAAGGCGAGTCACTTCATGAAGTGTCAGGTTTCATCAGTAGTAGTGTGGTGGAAAGTTCAGAAATTTTAGATGACAGGGGGAGTGATTCCAAAGTCAGTGATTCAAAAAACATGTTTGTGGAAGAGGAAGTGAGTCCAGAAGAGCAGGCCATCAAAGAATCAGTCCTTAGTGCTCTTGGATTGCAGCCACTTCGAGCCACACAGGTATTGTACAACATCCCAGCACTTAACAGAGAACAAATTGACATATTGTGTACACAGTTGACTCTGATATTGCAATTTTAAAATGTGAAGTGTTCATATGTTCCCGTGTTTGTGTGTGTGTGTGTGTTTGTCCCTCTCTGTTTGTAAGATTTTCCTGTTTTGCCTGATTGTGTTGGTGTTTTTGTTATATATCCAACAATACTTAAAGATATGCTGTATGTCTCAGATACATCCTATCCCAGTTCTTCCTGGTGGTTGGATTATGCTTTCCCATGGCCCCTGACCATAGCTGACAGATTTGATCATTCCCATAGTACCAGGAGGAACAGCCTGTTATTGTAGGAAAGCCTAACCATAGCAGCAGGAGACGAAATATCTCGGCCCTCCAATCTGGAGGTTGGGGGGGTTGGGGTGATTCATCTTTCAGGATGCTGATGAGGGAAAAACTTATCCTACTTGTGTCATTTGATGGTAACATCGGCAGAGCACCCCCACCAGTTATCCCAGGTGGACACACAGCCAAGCTTCAGTTGAGCCCTCACTTGCATATGAAGAGCCCTCACTTGCATATGAAGAGCCCTCTTCTTCTTGGCCACTTCTGCTAGCCAATCTGATTATTCTTCTCAGTGGTCAGGTTGTTTCCCCCCCCCCCCCCAC